TGAACCCGGCCGCCAGGGAGAAGGATGTGGAGAGGTTCTTCAAGGGATACGGACGCATCCGGGACATCGATCTGAAGAGGGGGTTTGGGTTTGTGGTGAGTGCGCCCCTCTGTAGGGCTCTGCTGTCCCTGCCTGGTGGTGGTCACTTGCATCTCATGCGGGTTTGATGTGCACGGAGCTACTTCTAAAGATAACGACATTAATGTGCTCGGCTGTGTGGCAAATAAGCATCTGTTAATTTCTCAGAGATGTAATTTTTTTATTTCTATGTTTTTGCTGTGGTGGTTTTGCAGGAATTTGAGGATCCGAGGGATGCGGATGATGCCGTCTATGAATTGGATGGAAAAGAGCTTTGCAGTGAGAGGTGATGTACCATATTTCATGAATATATGAGGTCGAATATCTAAAATGAGAAGTGAGTCAATTTTAACTTGTGTTATGTTATCAGTACTGTTTAAACTCTTTTAAAAAAAAAAAAAAATATGATTTTCTTTTTGTTTTCTCCCTAGGGTTACAATTGAGCATGCAAGAGCACGCTCTAGGGGTAGAGGCAGAGGGAGGTACTCTGACCGTTTTAGTAGCCGTCGTCCACGTAGTGACAGGAGGTACGTATATCTTTGAACTGACATAATTTAAGAAAGAATACTGTGGGCTCATCTGATCCAAGACCTGGAGCTAGAATGAGGTACTAGAAGGTATTATTAGCCTTTTTAGTAATCATTTGATGTGGCAGTAGCATGGTGAGAGCTACAAAACTTCTCAGATACAGTGGCCATCTTTGTGCCCCCTCCCCAAAGTACTCAATGCTCGTCCTAGGTTACTCGGGACATCAGATAGTTAAGTTGTAGTAGTAATGGTGATATGCTGATACCAGTTACTAGCACGGCCTTTGTTAGTATTAGCATGCAGTTATATTTTGATTGCTAATCAGTCACAATTCTTTGTTTCCAAACAGAAATGCCCCACCTGTAAGAACAGAAAATCGTCTCATAGTAGAAAATTTGTCTTCCCGAGTCAGCTGGCAGGTTTGTTGAAACACGATTAACTATTTTGACTTCGTTTAATGGGTATGTAATGTAATTATTTTGTAAAATAATTAATTAAAATTAAATTAATTTATTTAAAATGTTTATGTAATTAATGTAATTTTAAATTAATGTAATTTTAATATTTTGAATGAAAACTAGTTAATTTTAATTTATAATAATAATGAAATGTATATATTTGAGGATATATATTTATTTTTTCTTGTTTTTTAAATCCATTTTAACCACATATTAAACCCTTTATTTGCCAGCCTATCTGTGTCGTTGGCCTTATGACGAGGAGTGCCTGTGGGTTATCCTAATCGTTCTGTCTTGGTCACTCTTGGTTGGGCCTGGTTGACTTTCCAGTCAGCTCCTACAGTGTCACTTGGCCACCTCTAGATCTGTGTTTGCCGGTCTAGACGTAATCGATGCACTCCTTAAAGTGTGCCACATTGCAGCGATCCCAGAGCGTTAACGAGATCTGATTCCTAAGTTGAGAGCTGTTCTTCCTGTAACGCTTCCGAATAAAGAGGTCCTGGTCGAAAAGAGTTGAAAGATACGAAATTAGGTGGTCGTTGGAATCCTGATCGCAGTAAAGTGGTCCTTGGTAACATCAAGCATAGCGAATGTCTGGATCCATCAATAGTCTCCTAATAGGGAGGGCAGTGCGATTAATGGCTTCCATCGACTGGGTAGTCTTCGTCAAGTGGGTGGCGAAGAGCCAATCGGGCATATGTCATGACGGTATCTCCGGTCGCTTAATGCAGTTTGCTGCTTGGCTAGCCTAGGGAAATGTTAATAAAGGTAAAGTAAACTATATTTTTAATGACATATGGGGCACAAAATAATTGGTGTTAAGTAAATGTAATTCTGTTTGCATATAAGACCCGTAATGTAAATGGAGACTGAAATAGTGCAAAAATATTATGGGTAGTATTTCACATTCAGTCCAGTATATATACAAATGTACTCTTTTTATTTCTTTCTCTCTCTCTCTCTCTCTCTCTTTCTTATTTAATGTATATAATCTTTGTAGACTAATATTTTCCTTAATGTTAAGATAATTTTATTAGCATTTTGCTTAAAGCAATATGCTTTTTTCATTTATTTCGTGCCCTGATACAGATAATTCAGTTTTGATAGAATACAAGTATGGCCATTGCCATGTTTGTAGTTTATCTAACATTTTCTCTTTCAGTAGTCTTAAGTTTCTTTTGTTTGTTTTTAAATTTTTATATAGATAAGTATTAATTTCAATTCTTTGCATAACATAACTGGTCTTGTGTTAGGATCTCAAAGACTTCATGAGACAAGCTGGGGAAGTAACCTTTGCAGATGCACACAGACCTAAGTTAAATGAAGGGTAAGCCTCTAAAATCATCTCTTGAAAGCTGTAGAGTAATACTTGTACATACAGTATGTGGGGAGGGAAGCTGGCTACTTTCAGTGCTCAGCAGCTGTTCATGGTTTAATTTAGCTACCCTTTGAAAATGCATTCTCTGGTATTTGGGGAGGGGAATTCTTCAATTCATGCTTGAGTTATGACAAGGGATGACTACACTGAGCAGTGAGAGGTTTTGTGAGATTTTTTTTTTTCCCTCCAGAGTGTGTTTTGCTCTATCCTCAAAATTACAACTTGTAATAGTGAGCTCTGTGGTTTATTTTTTTTCCTGTAGGGTGGTTGAATTCGCCTCTTACAGTGATTTAAAGAATGCTATTGAAAAGCTTTCTGGTAAAGAAATTAATGGAAGGAAAATTAAATTAATTGAAGGCAGCAAAAGGCACAGGTATGGATTTCTATTCTCTGAAGTAATGCTTCACTGAGAAATTCACTGAGAAAGCTTTGATGTCGGTGACCAGACAGCCGAACTGGAGACCAGTGAATTGCCTGGCTGTTGTGGTCCCTGATGGTTCGTTGCTAACACCGATCCTCTTTGTTTCCTCAGTAGGTCCAGAAGCAGGTCACGGTCTCGTAGTAGAAGTTCATCCAGGTCTCGTAGCCGTTCCCGTTCCCGCAGCCGCAAGTCTTACAGCAGGTCAAGGAGTAGGAGCCGTAGCAAGTCTCGATCACTTAGTAGATCTCCAATGCCAGAGAAGAGCCAGAAACGTGCTTCTTCCAGTAGATCTAAATCCCCATCATCTGTGGACCGGCAGAGGTCTAGGTCGAGGTCCGTTGACAGTGGCAACTGAACTATAAGTAACTTGCCCTGGGGGCCCTTTTTTAAACCATACTTGCTAAAACTTGTGGTAAGTATGTTTTTGATAACCCTTTTCTTGCTCACATTTTTTGTGAATGTCTGAAGTGTATAGTTTGTGTATATTGGCAGAGCTCTTTATAACTAAAGCAGACAAATTTTTTTGTACTCCAAAAAAAAAAAATCATCTGAACACTTAATTCCCAGTATACTCAACTGTGAATAGCAACTCAGAACATTAGTTTAATATCTCAAATCAAACTAATAGCTTTAGGCATCTAAGAGCTCTACATGTGCTGTACATAAAGCTTTATTTCAGAGGGTATTTTTTTGTGCTTTAGAACCATTGTTTCAGTTATAGGTTAGCAGATAAAGTGCTGGTCAGTACTGGTAATAAAACTTTATTTTAAAAGCTTTTCATTTAATATGACTTGCACTACACTAAGAAAATGCCCATTTCACTGCCCTGTAGTAACAATATTCTATAAAGCACCCTAATTCTTGATACGGAAGAATTAAATAGCTCAAATAAAGTATAAAGAAACACGTCTGTACTTGTAGTGTGTTCTTACTACTGTTAGTGTGACTGTGCCTGCTGGTGTTGGACAGTGTTAAAATGTTTCTTAAAGGTGTGTTGATAGCAAGGCTGTTGCTGAGTGGGTTTGGGTGTGGGGGAGAACTTCCTTTTAAATACATCGCACTGTGGCCTTAGATATCTCTGTGTTCTGAAATAAGAACTTTGGTAATGAGGAGAATCATGCTGTCATAGTTCATAGCAGGAAGTGGAAAGGAGACGTCGTTTAGGTTTTAATCACTGTTCAGGTAATAAGCATGGAATGTAAAGGCTGGATGTAGTCAGCATACTTAATTAGCGTGGTCGTGCACACGCATACTAGAGAACGCTGAGGTGTGGATGAAGCATTTTTATAGGCGTCAATCCTCATTCTGGAGGAAGAGGAGGGATTGTGAAGTTGGTGGGTGGGAGTGCTGCGGTGGGGGCACCCTGCAGCTCTGCATGCTAGTATTTGTGCCTTGTGGTGGGCAGAGGGGTGGGCAGTGGGATGAGTGCTGGTCAGCTCTGGGGAGGGGGAGGCCTTGGTCTCAGAGGTGGGTAGTTCAGGTGCTGGGTTGTCTTGAGAGGTGTGGGAGAAGAGGGCTTTAACCTCGGGGTAAGGGTAGCTGTGTTTCCTCAAGTCAGTTGTTCGTTCCTGCCTAAACAATGATGGGCATCTGTGTTCAAGTGGGACTCTGCTCTGACAGGAATCCAGGTGGCTGAAGGCACCTGGTAATTGGAAGGGGGTGGGATTCAGGCACTTTCCTCCCACAGGCTAAATACGAAGTACTGCTTGCTCTATAAACAGCTGTTGTGAATTCTGTCAACTGCACCACTCA